AGACTGTAGCTAGGGCTGTCGTGAGCATTTCCCTTGCTGGCTGGGGTGGGTGGGGGAAGCAGGCTCAGCTGAACTCATTGAGAAGGGCCTGTGTTAGTGGGCTTGGACTGCCAGAGGGAAGTGTCATTTCCTGGGTGGTTTAACCAACTGAAATGTATTTTCTTACCATGCTAGAGGCTGGAAGTCCAAGATCTAGTATGGGCAGGGTTGCTTTCTCCTGAGATCTTTTTCTTTGGTGTGCAGATGGCATCTTTTCCTTGTGCCCTCACATGGTCATCCCTCTATATGTCTATGATCTGATCTCTTCTTATTAGGACAGGTTTGATCCAGTCAGATTGGATCGGGGCCAATCTAATGATATCACTTGACCTTAATTTCCTCTTCAGAGGCCCTATATCCCCAAACAATTATATCTTGAGGTCCTAGAGGTGATGTCTACATGTGAATTGGGGGGACCCAGTTCAGGCAGTAACAGGGACTGAGTGCAGATGCAAGACTCCCCACGAGGCTCTTCCTGCACAGGGCTGCTCATTCCACTCATGTGCAAGGACCACTGGGGACCTTCCCTGCCTCTCAGGACAGACCCTTCCTTTGTAGGAAGCAGGAGGTTCACCTTACCTCAGCAGCCTCAGTTCTTCACGAGCCATGAACAAGCTTCCCCTTTCTCTCTTCCTGCCCCAGCCTTTGTGCTTGGTGAACCATTTGTCCTCTAGGACCTGCCTCATCCTGAGACTTCCCTGCTGCAACTTCTGGTTCTCTGACCACCCAGTGGGTCTTCCAGGTGCTGTGCGGGCTTTCTCTCTCTGGAAGCTGTGCCCATCAGCCAGGTACTTGGGTTATCTTTTTAAATTCACTCTCAATGTTTGAGTACACACGACCTTTCTCAAATGCAAGAATTTGCTTATTTAGCGTATTATTTATGGAGTATTTGTTCAAAGTTTTACTTCTGAAAGGCATGATCAGGTTGGTAAAGGGAGTCAAGTGCCCTAATGACCCTGTGGCTGACAAGAGAGCCAGGGTCTCTGATGGATGTGTCTGCTCGAGAGTTAGCCCCAGACATACCAGGATCCAAGGGAATCCACCCTCTTGGCTTCCCAGAATTTTGCTATAAATTCCTGGCTATTGCCAGGAAATGCTATGGAAATAAAAATAAATGAGTTGAGGAAGGTGGTATCAGTTTCAGCAAACACTGGATGGAGTTGAGAGGATTTTTCTATTTCTCAGGCAGTATAGGTTTGCATTTCCATCTTTGGTTCCTTGGTCTAAGGAGAGGAAATTCCATCCCAGTGTTTGGCATCTGAAGCAAACAGTTTTGTTGGGGTGAAGGGAGATGTG